GCTTCCTCTCTCATTCAGTGGTGAGGAGCACTGATTTGTCTGGTGAGTCTTCTCTTTCTTTGATTGTCTCCTGGTCAGCGCATTCAAAGGTCCTTGTCTTTTGTTATTGTATTCTTAATACAGAAGACAGAGTGTGATCTCTTGGGGACTCTGAGACCAAGATGTCTGGCCTTACAGATGACACAGTTCTTGAGTGGATCAAAGACTTCTGCTACCTCTCCTCCCAGTGTCGTTTGGGGTCCTTCTTCTCTGGCTCTCTTGGATCTGTTGTTGTTGTTGGCAGCCAGTTGATATGCTCTCTTCTGCTGGGAATTCCTATTCTGACTTTGGCAGCCCATCCCTTCATTTTGTGTTGTTGCTGCTGTTGGTGGCTCCATGGTGCTCTCTTCTGCTGCTGGTGCTCTCTTCTGCTGCTGTTAATGACTGTCGAGTGGCTCTCCGGTGGTTGTGTAAGCGAGCGGCAGAATGTCATTGTCGATCGATCGAACGGAAGGAATCCTTCTTTCTGTTTTCGCGAAACACGAAAATGGTGACTAGGTAGCACACTAGCTCTGTAATCTTTATAAACGGTACGTTAAGTATATTTGAATTTTTGCGACATACTTCCTGATGTCATAGGTTGATTAGCCAATCAGATCACTGCCTTTCACCGCTTTCACCCTTACCGGAGGCCTCTTGTTTTGAAAGGAGCGACAATTTTCCTTGAATTTTGTTTAAGGTTGCAGAGCTAATGGACAATCCTGACGCAAACAACTGCCAGTACCAGTACACGTAGCTAGCTAGCCAGATTCGATTCGTCAAAAAAAGAGCGACCGTAACCGGTGGGTGTGCCTTCCAGTCCAAACCGACCGACAACCGACAAACCGACAACACTCCGTGTAATTGTTCTGGCTACCGGTAGCTAGTATGTGTTTCTTTTTAAAAAGAGCGAAGTGCGAAGTACGAAGTGCGAGCTTGACCATGGATGGTTACATGTAGCTGTGCAGTGCCTTCCACGATTTGCTGAAATGGAGAACCACAGCAAAATCATTCCAAAAACTCGAGGACAGCTAGCTAGCTAGGGTATCATGGATGGAACGACTGATTTGTCTTTTGCCTCCGTCTTCCGGCCGTGGCGACCAGAGTTCATGGAGAGTACTGACGGGCAACCTCTTGCAACTGACCTTTCGCAGCTCTTCACGCGCCTTCCAGATGAAAGACTTCCAGAAAACCCCTATGTTGCTTTCTTTGTGCGACGTGACGTGTTGGTTGGCTTGATTCTCTTCTACATTGCCAGTCTTCATCTTTTTGCAGCGGTTCGAGACGCAACAGGCTTCTCGGCAAAGGAGAGTCCAACCTTCCGTAACTTTGTTGCTGCACACAACCTCTCTCTGGCAATCTTTTCTGTCGTATCTCTCTACAATACGCTTTCCATTGTGGTTGAAAATATGATGATGGGCCCAGATGGGTGGGTTGCTATGGGCTGTGACGCAGAGGGGATCCATTGGAACTCAGGCCTCGGTGGTTGGGCATTCATCTACTTCTTGTCCAAACTCCTTGAGTTTGTGGATACTTGGATTCTCGTGCTCAAGGGTAAACAACCGTCCTTCCTGCAGGTATTCCACCATATTGGGATGGTCTTGATTAACTGGGGAGTTATCCGAGCTCGATCAAGTTGGACATACTTTCCTGCCTCGCTGAACCTGTTCATCCACTCTCTGATGTACACGTACTTTTTCATAAAGACTCTCTATCCCAAGGCTGAGATCAAACAAGCCAAGTATCTCACCATGGCGCAGATAGGGCAGTTTGTCCTTGGGATCACTGTTTCTTTGCTTTGGGCTTTGAAGTTGCCCACATTCTGCATCTCTCAAGCCTCAGCATTTGTCCTCATTTTTCTTCAAACCTACACAGCAATCTTGGTTGTCATGTTTGCCACTTTTGCCCGTCAAAGGTACAAGTTGAATAAGCAGGCTTAATTTTACAAAGAAGGCAGACCCAACCCACAAGGAAAGGATCGAATGCCGCTGTTGTTCACTGTCGGCGAGGGCTTTGTGGGCTCCACTTCGCTGTTACCGGTACATTCCAAAGAGGATTTGCAGTGCAGGCTGTAGGGTAAAACGAGTTACTGCCACAACTAGTAGCTACCACTACGCCAACAGCTACGCCAACTATAGTTTGAATAAACTGCTTGTAGCCTCCCTTGTAGGGCACTCAATTAAAATTGCAGTAGCATCACAGCTTTATATTAGCACAACGTCTCTTTCGCTCCTTCCCACAACAACAGCGGATAGACGACCCGGAGTTGCAACTCCATCATGAAGATTGGTCACTTTTTTGAAGAGATTCGATGACTGCCTGACGAACACGAAGCTCGGATGCTGGAACCCAGGGCTCTCCCAGCACGCTGAAGCTGTCACCCATGGACTCCTCATCGTTGTGGCTTGTGGCGTCTTGTTCCTCGAGAAACTCTAGGCCCTCAACTGCTTGTAGTGTATGCAATACGAGGTGAACCAGACACTGTTGCTCCATTGAGTAGTGATGCTGTCGAGCCCATTGATAGGTCTCCCGGTGTCTGCTGATTACCTGCTCGTACGCTTCTATTTGGTGAAGCAATCAAAAAGAAGAAATGGTTAGCCAAAGACGTGCGCACAATTAAATAGGTTCGTGATCCTATCCTTTGGTCGCAACACCGGTTACGTACCGTTTCCGCCTCGGTTTATTTGAGAAGGGCCCAAGAGGACGTGCTTTTCTTGTTGAAATGGGTGTATTTGCGTCATGAGTATCTTATTGCATACTGGTACGTTGCTTCAATTTTTGTTTTTTATGTTTTTGTGCTTCCAGATAGGCGAGGCTTCTTGGTTGTCCATGCCAGTTGCCACCCAGACAAGAGTAAAGGACGACTGATGTTCTAAGAGGACCAGGACTTTGCCCGCCATTTGCCTGGCTAGCTAGGTTTTTGTCAATCCCACAGAGGCCATTGGCCACCGGTTCTAGGTTGATCACTAGCCAGCTAGCTAGCTAGAAGTGACCAAGTCAAAGCACTCACCTTGATCGGATGCCGAGATTGTAGGAGTTGTGGTCTTTGATGCATGGTGTTGTGTTGTCTGGGATTCCGATAGGCCACGACATGTGCATGTACCGGCATACGATACCAATACCTGCATGCAGGATCTGCTATCCGCGAGTAAAACATAGGCATGTAGGACCGCACCGATTACCATTGCAGTTGCTGGAAGCTTCCCGTCGGCAACGTGGGTACTTACATGGAACCTAATCCACAAGCAAACCTCCTGCGTGCTGTGCAGTGTGCTGCAGAAAACAACTCCACCAGCACAGGTAGAGTGCAAAATTCACCCATTCTCTATGTGCAGAGTCGAGTCTCTCGATCGGGAAGATTCAAGGAACGAGGACGGATCATTGGGTGAGCTGTGCCTGTCTTCTTCGAACAATCATCGTGTCGATATCCAATTTTCAGTTCTCATACTATCCGGATACGGTACGGTACCAACGCGTAGACAATTCTCACTGTCCAGCCATTCCGAGCAGCTAACTCCAGCTCCGTGCAGGATTTCGATGTGTCGAGATCAGGCTCACCAAAGTGCATCAATATTTTCGTTCACCACTATGCAACCGGTGGCATCAGAGCGCCCTTCGGACTAAGTGTACTCAGCTTGGCGAATGAGGCATTGTAACGGTTTCTATCTCAGCAGCCACAGTACCGGCATTGAGCTGATTGAAAGAGTACAGTACACGTATCGATCTGCGTACATGTAGAAGTCGTCTTCCCACTTGATTTGCCAGGAAAAGGAATTGTTGCACAGGACATAGCGAAGATTGTCATCGGATGGTTGAAGAAGAGAGACAAATGAAGGGAGACAACGCTGCACAGAACATAACTCAGATAGTAGTCGTATGTATCATTGAAGAGAGATGTAACTTAAAAAAGAGAAGCATTGTGTTGCATGTTGGTGCGAGCTTCGCTCTGAGCAAGTTTAACACTGCACACGGGTTACCGGTACGGTTGTAGCACAGCTCAAAGGAAGCAACGAAGTGGTTCAAGAGAGATAAAGTGGATTTTGTTGCGATTCGGTTCGCCTCTGAGTAGGAAAGAATGCTGCACAGTGCTTAGAGAAGACACGCACTTTCTTCCAACGAATTGGTTTTGTGGGTTGCTTTGACCAATACTACCGCGCTGTACCGGGGCCATGCGCCTCTGAGGAGCAAGGAATACTCCAAAGTCCACCGCATAACGAAGCACACTGTACTACAACGACGGGATTCACGAGAGACGGTGGCTTTGCTAGCTAGTTTGGCAAATGCGGTACTCCTCTGAGTAGCAATGGAAAGCTGCATAGCACATAACGAAGAAGGCCGCCAGCATGCTCACCAACTACTCGCCACAACTTGAAACAAATAGAGCTGCCACCAGCCTCTGCAGTAAGGGATTGACTTGGCTTTGCTGTGTCTGGCTGACATGAGAGCAAAACTTGATGTTGATCCCAGCTACCGGTATGCAGCATTTCCAGGAGTGTTGAAGAATGTATTCTGGCCACTGGGACTTATGGTTCCTAGCTAGCGATCAAGCAAACTAATAGAAAGGAAGGCGCTGAAACATGAATTCTTTATTATTAGTTAGGTTGAATGCAATCCTTTGCAAATAAATCATTCAGAATCATTTGTCTTTGTCGGCAGTTTTCTGCGCTCTTCCAGCAAGTCTGAAAAAGTTGATCCTTGGGTGGTCCGGCCGGTTCTTCGACTTGTTTCAAAGCAAGCCACTGAGAGATATCACACGATTATACGAAAGATCCAACTGAAATAATAATGCCCTCGGGCAACTTGGCTTTCCACTGAATGGACCGGAGCTCGCAAATCCCACGAGGCGCCAGCTCGAATCACACTTGAGGGGTTCGCCTAAATGCTTGAAATTGCCGTTAGAAATAATCCAATCTCTGACAAGTGGCCGTTCTATAAAAGCGGCCATCTCTGTTCTCTTACAGTACCGGATCCGTCCTTCGACCATGTTGAGGGCGAAACGTGGGGGCACATCTGTGATCACACCAACCAGTGATCACACCAACCATATAATGAGTTGTGGAAGGTCCTTCTTGCTGATGGATCGTCCCAAACTACTCTTTTCTTCTTCTTGTTCTCACAATATCAATCCACATCAGAAAAACCAACTCTCACAACCATCTCCCACCGACGAAACAAACATACCAGTAGGCACGATGTCCTCCAAGCCCGACCCTCAGTGGATCCGCTTTGGTAAGGGTTCTGGGTCGAACCACCACCGTAAGTGCCAAGGATTGCCGAGACCGTTGATCCCAACAAACCTCGTCCTTCCTCTCTCTGACCAATATTGCTTGGCGACTATTTGTTCCAAACAAACATTACAGCTGGCAACAAACGCTATGTTGCACTCATCCGAGACAATCAAATCCCATATCTGCTGCTCCGTACCAACGACGACAAGAACCTTTTCATCAAACGCATCCAGACGCAGCTCTGCGAGGCCGAACAACGAAAGTTTGTTGAGAAGAACCACCGTGGCATCTGGGAAGAGGCTTCCTATCAGAGAATTCGTGAAAAGATTCGTACAGCACTCTGTGATTCCAAGCTCAAGAATGCTCTCAAGATTGATGGCGTGTACTGGCCCAAAGATGACGAGGAGGTGGGGGTGGTGGAGGATGTGGGTGCACATGGCGTAGAGGAGCTTATTCAAAGCTTTGATTTCTATGAATCGTTTGGCAAGGAAGCAGCCAGAATCGAGGGAACTCAGTTCATTCCCTTGTTTGTAGAGGAAGGGGAGAGTGATGATGACGACAGCATCTTGGGCGGGGGTAGCACAGGGCCGGCTATTATGACGAAGGGGAGCGAGGAAATGCCAAAGAAGAAGCGAGCCGTCACACCCGAACACAACAATCCACGCAAACGTTGCCGCATGTGCCGTCTTCCTCTCAACGAATGCCATTAAAGCAGCAAACGGCAGCTTCCTAAAGTGCAGCCAAGAATCCAGGCTGCTGTGTTCCTTCATGTCTATGCAAGCCTCCATAATCCGCACCTCCATACGGTAGTCCACACACACCTCCAAGCCATGTAACAAAAGTAACCATTCATTTCTTAAGACCAAGACTTCTCAAACTAATGCATTACCGTACCACACTGGTGGATACCGGTACCGTATACGTTTCTGAGATTCTACGCTTCTACCCAGATGTCATCGCTGCTGCTCTAGCACGCATTCGACGCAAAAGGGGGTCAATGGTGTGCGCAACGTGCACATGTGGAAGTAGACAAAACATGTCGCACAGGTGCTCGTTACATTCGGAACCAAACCGCAGTTGCTGAAGTACCGTTGTCCACCATTGACGTCGAAGAAGGAGAAGACAAGTGGGTGCCACCGCTACCGGTCCTCCCATACCGTATGCAGTATCTATTGGATGATAGTGAGTTGACAATGCACGCATGAAGATTCAACAGCAGAAACGGCGGTGGTGCGTTCCGTGAGATGAGACGACATGGAGATGAAACGTGAAGCTGTCTCCCTGTCTCCACTCTAGAGCTCGGATACGGCCCCTTCCCTCCCACATGAATCTGTGATTTCGCCGTTCTATCCATCCAAGTCTGCATGCAGTTTGTTTGTTTATTGGTTTGTTCTTCCAGTCAGCCAATGGCGAACTTTTAGCTGGATGCTTCTGGCAGAGTAACAAGTGTCAGTCGGGAATCCAAGGCGAACGCTGTTATCAGGAGGGTTCTGCGATTCGCGAACGACTTCCCAATGCGGCGCCTTTTTGGTTATTGGAGCCACAACAATTAACTATCCGCAAAGAAAGCAACGACGCGACAAATTGTCCACACAGGGTATCTCAAGCAACAACAGGCAACCAGAAACGCTTGTTCCAGATTCATTCATTCATACAATCTCGATTCAACGCACTCCCTTCTTCCAACCACACCGTAGAACATCACCAACAAGACGTCTTGAAGTTGAAATTCGATGGTCATGTCTGAAGCCAGCAAGGAAACCAAGGAAGGGGCACAATCGGCAACAATCCAGGAGTCCTCAATTGATGTAGAGACCGGGAAACTTCCGACCCCTCGCGCTGAAAAGGACGAATCAACGCAACATTCCAATGACGAAGACAAAGATGGTGGTCATATGGACGAAATAACCTCAGCTGTGACAGTTTACGATTGGCTCTGGGTACCAATGCTCTTGCTAGCGCTGATAATCTTGGGTGTGTTTGTCTATGCAGTGGCGGCAGGAGGTGAGATCGACAAAGACAGCAGTGTTCGGAAATACCCGCACAATATTTAGTTCATGATAGTGACCGTGCAGCAGAAGATGACATGACATGGTTTGGTCAAATGGTTGTATAGTAGTACATTACGTAAATTCGCTAGCTAAGCAAACAATCAATGGCATTACGAACTTTTTAGTCATACAGCTACCAATTCACTGTAGTAGCTAGAGCATATTAATTAAGTTAGCTGTCATTAAAGCTTCGGGTGGGCATCGTTGAAGAGACGAAGTTGAGCAATCAGGAAGAGGTTGTCGGCAACGACTCGCACTCACTTGAATGAAGCGAAGCACTTGTCTGTACCGGTACGGTACCGGTGGTGTACCTGGTACTGGTACCGCTGTCCCTCTCAAGCTCAGGCCCTTCATTGGATTTTGAGCTTCTGGAGACAGGGCTCAGAGCCTGTCAATTGGGTGCAAAAGCACTCTGCTGGGTTAAATTAACACGTCACTGACATACGTGAGATCGTTCCTACGTCACCACTTTTCAAAATAGAACTTTCGCCCACACTCCCTCCACGATCGACGACATTTTCTTGCAAACAGTTTTCTTGACCATGAAGTTCTCCCTCCCAAGCGCTGCTCTCTCGACCATGTGGTTGGCTTCTGGCTTGAAAACGGCGGCAGCCTTTGCCCCTCGATCCAGAACGATTGTATCTCGCGCGGGCGCCATTGCCAGTGCCAACTTAGCACCACGAACGTTCGCCACACAGACCAACATGGCCAATGTCCTCAAATTGTCAGAGCCACAGAGCGAGCTGCTGGATCAAGTTGATGTTTTCATTTTTGACTGTGACGGTACGAGAATCAGTCATTTGAAGTTAAATTGGTTTTGCAAGCATCAGTCTCACTTTTGTCTGTGATCTATGGTACCACTTTCGGTTTTCTTTTCTGCTGCCCTGCCACCTCATCACAGGTGTGATTTGGAGGGGAGATTCCTTGATTGATGGCATCCCTGAAACACTGGAGAAACTCCGTAAATTGGGAAAGAAAATGTTTTTTGTGACGAACAACTCCACCAAATCTCGGGCTGGATACAAGAAAAAGTTTGACTCTCTGGGTCTTGATATTCCTCCTGAAGAAATCTTTTCCAGTTCCTTTGCCGCCGCTGCTTACTTGGAACAGACCAAATTCAAAGAGACAGGAAAGAAAATCTATGTAATTGGTGAAGTGGGTATCTGTGAAGAACTGGATCTGATTGGTGTCCCATACATTGGAGGTCCTGCCGATTCTGACAAGACACCCGATATGGGTCCTGGTGGCAAATTAATTGTGGATGAAGATGTTGGCGGTGTCATTGTGGGATTTGATCGCAATGTCAACTACTACAAAATCCAATACGCACAACTGTGTATCAATGAAGGTGGTGCCGAATTCATTGCCACAAACTTGGATGCTGTCACACACCTTACCGATGCTCAGGAATGGGCTGGAAATGGAAGCATGGTTGGAGCCATCAAGGGATGCACGGGACAAGAACCCACTGTAGTTGGCAAGCCCAGCCCACTGATGATTGATTATCTTGCCGAGAAGCTGGGTCTGGATAAGGGACGCATCTGTATGGTTGGTGATCGGTTGGATACCGATGTTTTGTTTGGAACCGACAATGGGTTGAAGAGTGTTCTTGTATTGAGTGGTGTCACTACCGAAGAGAAGCTGTTGAGCCCTGAGAACACAATCACACCTGACTTGTATGCTGACACCATCAACGACTTCTTCTTGGAAGTCCCAGCGAAGGTGGAGAGCTAAGGATGTAAGCTGATGTTCAGCTGGCCATTACTTCTTCGCGAGTAACCCTGTGTATAGAACCGATACATTTGTAATCAGCGTTTTTGCAGTAGTGTATTGGTTATGTTTGATGAACGGCAAATCACGTTGAACAGAAGAAGATCCGATACATACCTTGTTCGCCGTTCGCAACGTTTCTGCAACGAGCAACCTTGTCATGCTCCCTACCGGTATCATAACCTTGACCTATGCTTACAAATTCTGGCATTCCTCTTCCAACGAAGGACGTTCTATAAAATCGTTCGAGCTAGAAGGATATTGGTATCCAAAAGTCTCTCTCGGAATATCGAGGCCCTGATTAGATATTATCTCCTGATGAGGACCTGTGCACCCATGAAGATCACCAAAACAGGCTCGCCATCGTTTTGGCTTGGTCTAGCTAGAAGTCGAGGGGATCGAGGTTTCGGGATTTCTCTAGCTAGCTAGATCTATCGTAGTCCCAATAACCAGCACACACGGCTATGAGATCTGATCCGCCGGCACAGTACAATTTTGCCACGTCAAGCCGCACTACCTCAGAAATAACCATGTGATTACATTTGCATGAAATTAGGGGTTTATGTTCTAGTAGTGATACGATTTTTAGATCCTCCACCATCTCCCTGCCGTGTACAGCAGATCCCTCGGTAATGGTGATGGGTGCTCTTAACAATATGCTTGTTGCTGGCTAATATCTTTGTTGGCTGTCTTTCCAGGGCGTCCTTTCGGAGAGAGCAATTTAGCTGCAGGCAGCACAGACACAACCAGTAGGGTGGGCACTCACACATCCACTGCAGACGCATCCGGCTCCATGTGCAGATGCTCGGCTGCAGCTAGCACAAGCGCATCCGGAAGCATGGGGGCTCACGCATCCACTGCAGAGGCAGTCGGATCCGTGCCTTTGAGCAGACAAAGCGGACTTGCTGCAGGCAGCACAGGCACATCCCGCAGAGTGAGCACTGACGCAACCGCTGCAAAGGCAGTTGGCTCCATGGGTCGATGCTCGGCTGCAGCTCGGACAGGCACATCCAGAAGCATGGTTAACTGTGACACTGGCCTTTCCTGCAACGGCAACACCCGCGAAGGAAGGAACAGCAGGGGCAAAGGCGCTAGCGCCAACTGCCATGCAAGTCATGCAGTACACAATTTTAGACTGGAAAAAGAAAGCCAATGAAGCAACAACAGAGGTGAGTCAAGCTTTGCCAACAAACAAAAATCTGCCACGAAGCAATTCCACAGTCAACTATTTGTCTCTATCCCAGCCCCTTCATTGACCACTACCTCCAATCATGTTGAAAACCCGCAACAACTCCGTCTCAACGCTACTTACAGGAGCCATGGTCGAATAGTCAAAGCTGCCACTTGGATTGAAATTGTGAAGATACTCATTGATGGTCGTTCAATGGACCTCAAGGAAAGTTGAGTCTCGAACGTCACCATCGCTATTTAAAAACTAGAAACTTGTTTCCAGAGATATTCGAAATATACCCTATAGAATTGCTATCGTTTTGTTGCTTTCTTTCTCAAAACCACAGAGTTGTGTTTATAATTGAGATATTAAATTACAACAAGGTGTTGGTATAATTTTTCTCATTAAAAATTGGCCTGCCGATGTTGGATACACACGTATCGGTAACGAAAGCATGACGAGGGTGGATGTGCGAGAAGGAAAGATACGCAGCCTCGTAACGATGACGTATGCGTTTTCTCGTCCACAAGCCTGTGCAAGCCTCATGCAAATCATCTCCTCAACCAATCCTCCTCGATCTTCGCTGAGGTGTCACTCCAGGAGGCAAGAAAGACGAGGTGTGGGTTCGTCTTGGCCCAGGAGACGGCATGATGGCTCTGCTAGCCGCATGGAGGTACCAGTAGCAGCCATGAAGGGAGCTGGCGGCGACGTACCAGGTAGCTTGGAGGCAGGCAGATCATGGGATCAATAGTATTGCACGTGGCAACGGCGGCCGCCTTTGAAGTGGACACAAGAAGCAACTAATTACTGATCTTGCTACCACAAAACTGCTTTTTGCCTGTATTACCGGTACCGGTACTAATGGACTCTCATCGAGGTAGCTTCAGACCATTCCTTAAAGAACTATCAGGCCTCCGCAGATAACTATCCCCCCTTTGACTTACTTGAAACGAAGCCGGCAACTTCCCTACTCTAGCTAGCTAGCTAGCTACATACATGTTGTGTCGCCCTTTTCATCTGGCCCATGCAACCTGAAACCGATGGATGTTCTGGACTCCTGCGTGGACGAAGATTTTGAAGACTGAAGTGTGACTGGTCCAAACCGAATGGCCAAAACTCGTTGCAACCTTTCCACTCATTTTCCAAAGCAAGTGCAGAGATCTTGTTCTTGTTATCCTACCCGATAGCTGCCACTAGAATCTTGAGACAATGGCCCGAAAACGCTACCCGACTCGACGATCACAACGACCAGAACGCAAGGCATGGACTGGCCGTGCTCTTGGGTCTCCTCCTCCGTTAACGGCGTTCCCTGCTCTTGCATCCCCCGAAAAGGAGAGCAACAGTCATGTCAGCAGCAGTAACAAGAACAGCGAGATTCTTGAAGGCAACAACGACAACACAGCTTCCTTTGTGGAGATCGTGAAATCTGCCGACAAGGAAGTCTCCTCTATCAAGGTTTCAGAGCCATTAACTCCTCTCACGGAATGTTCCAGTGGCAGTGACTCGGATGACTCATCGTCTGATGAGGCGGAACTTTGCTTGATTAACAACAACGACGACGACGATGGCGACGAGTTGATTGGCAACGAGAAGACTTCTTCTGACGATAACTCCATTATCCCAGTGTGTTTGGATCAACAGTTCAACCTTGCATCTAATGGTCGTCGCAAGGATAATGATCTGCTCCTGGCAATTATCATGGCCCATGTGGTCCCTGGAACACGACAGAAAGACGCGTGGACGGACCAACAACGCGAGTTGTCGTCAGATTTCCTCGGAGCATTGAACAAGGGAATGAATCAAGCTGCCGATAACGAAAACGAACAGGCCGCGCTTCAAACAGTGTTTGAAGCTACCTGCTGGTCCTTTCAGGATCGTTTCGATGTCGTGTATTATGCTGGCGAAACTGGAGCCTTTCTCAAGCACTGCCGTCTAGTTGGTCTCACCGAGGAAGAATGGAGCGATATCGTCCAAGAAGCCATCGATGGCTACAACCGTCTCGTACAAGAACACAAGCAAGAGGACGATAACTTGGAGGAAGCGACGCTGACAGTCAGTCCTCAGGAAATCTCGCGGGACCTAGAACAGATTCGCACCACTTGCTGGGAATGCAAGTCCTGCCCTGGAGTGGAGCTCTTGACGTGTGTTTCGTGCAACATCCCACGCTATTGTGGTCGGCAGTGTCAGGCCAAGGCGTGGGAAGACGGACACAACATCAAGTGCCGCTCGCTCCGAACCACACACCGCATCATTCGAAAGACGCTCGGCACGATCTCCAAGGCCGCGGTAGCACGATCCATTCATGGCGTTCATATCCATCCATTGATTGACCTGTCCTTTGCCACCATGGTGATGGACCCACAGCTCCATGCGGCACCGACGCAGACCATGACAACCAAGGCACTGGAAGGACCCAGCATGACCTTTTACTACCAAAATCTGGCCGCGATTCAACGCGGTGAGTGGTGGATTTTCACGGACGCGTGCACCGAGGAGCACTACGATCAAGTCGTGGCGTCCAAGGCGGGGGATCTCACTGTGGCACAGGAGCAAGGAGTGCTCCCGTGCGTGCAGTGGATCGGTTGGGTGCAGTTGCTACTGACTTACAACCTTCAACAAGTCATTGACGATTCTCGAAAGGCGAGCGATGCTGCGGCTTCCATTGCCATGGATGCGTTGGACGAATCTCTTGATCTGTCCGATGTGTACTGCTTCCCGGAGGGCGCTCCGGTGCCACGTCTGTGCCGCATGAATTCCTCCCTTACGATGCGAGACATGAGCGCACGTTCCAGTGGTACATCGGTTGACAACTATGAGATGGACTCTGCCGCGATTGAATCCTTGCTTCATCCCGACGGGATCATTCTTCGTTACAAGGACTTTTACGGTGTATCCATGCCTCCGGAGGCTCTCTTGAAGCAGGTTACGTTGGACCACGACCATCATATGACATTGGAAGAGATCAAGGCACGCCGTGACTTTGCCAAGTGGTTCGTGTACCAAGATCTCGTCAATGTCCATCACAAGTAAGTACGGTAGTGATGCAGGAATTCTCTATCTACAAGGTAGTCCTCCAAGTGGGGTGCTAGCTACAGCTTTGGTTGGAAAGTTGTCACAAGACGGTAGAATCATTCAGTTCGGAAAGAACGCACCTAAATAATAGTTGATGTTTACATAGCCGGTGCATTCAAGTTTCAATGAACCTCGTGATGCATGGAAGAGGGGCAAAGAATACCATACATACAAACGTGCCCTATAAGGGCCACGAGCCAAAGTTTGTATTACGTGCAAGGATGGAACGCTGGCACCGAGAGCCCGGATATCCTCCCAATCTAGCTAGCTACGGTAGCTGCTGCCAGCTATTATAGTCTATTAATAGCTAGGACAAAAAGATTTCATTGTTCAGGCATTCTGCTCCGGCGTGAATTCTTCAACCTGCTCCTGCAAAGCGCCAAAAACAGCACATGGATCATTCCCTTGCTTTGCACCTGCAACACTACTTCAACAAACTGCGCTGTCTTCTCAGATGACACCAAAGATGTCACGCTGTCGGCGAATCCAATCTCTCTCACTAAACAAACAGTTAACTTTCCCAAACCACCATGATGATCCCCAAAGGTTCCTCTTCCGTAACAGCGTCGCAATGGATGCCTTGGGCTCGACAGCAGCTGTCCCAAAGCCTCAAAGCGGGAACTTCTCAAGTCAGCAATAATTCGCCTCAAGCCAAAAGCTCTCTAGAATGCTATTTTGACGCCTCCCGTGATCAGATTCCATTACAGGCACCGTATCCCATAGTTCCATCGATAGCACTGCCACCAGGACATGCCTTTGCCCGACGCCACGCCGATGGAACCCCCTTGCTGGTCTACCGTGACAAGAAGGATCCGTCTCAGATTCGAGCCTTTGTCAATTCTTGTAGTCATCGAGGATCTCCATTGGTAGCTCCCAATAATCGTACGGGTCAATTCGTCACCAAACCACTCAAGGCGCCACTCTTGACGTGCCCGTATCATTCATGGACATTTGATGCATCGAGTGGTGCCTTGCGCAAGATACCCGGTCACGAAAAAGCATTTGCGTTGATGGATACCACTGAATTGGGACTGACGCCCTTGACGTGTACCGAAACAGCGGGATATGTGTGGATTGGAGGGGATGCACTGCGTCAAGAAAGACTCTGGCAAGCGGAGGATATGCAATCAACTTTGGAGCACTTTTTGCATCCACCGGGAAAACAACAATCCGCTGCTGCGCTCATTGGATATCGAGAATGGACGGTTCAAGCCAATTGGCAGTTATTGGTAGAGACCGCACTCGAGAGTTATCATGTTCCCGCTTTACACCAAAAAACCTTTCATTTGGTGACCGATCCAACCGAGGGTACCATGGTTTCCCAATGGAAAGATTCCCATCGAAACGTCACCATGACTGTGCCGCTGCGCAACTTTCAACCAGACCATGACGAATCTGCTGCCGGTTGGACAGACCAAGATACACTTCGGTTCTTGGGAGAAACGACCACGACACACTTGATTTTCCCGGCGGCCTTTGTCACCTTTTTCAAACGGCTGGCCACATTTATTACCATGGAACCAGCAGCGAGTCAACACCATCCAACGGAACCTTCTACCAGCACGTTGGTTCGTGCCTGGGCATTGCCCCACAAATGGTACGAGGATGATGATCAGGAAGCGCAAAAGAGAGATTTTGCCTCCGTCTTGGCAGCGGTGGAGGAGGATTGGGAGTGCGCGGAACAAATACAACTGGGATTGAATCATAAAGACGACAAACAATTCATTTTCGGAGGCTACGAAGGCAACAATGTCACGTTCTTGAACAATGTGGGAGCCGTGGCAAAAAAGATGGAGGAGATGAAATAGGTAGTAAGTAGTTAGCTAGTAGGTTGATCGGTAAGGATCGCACACATCATGCGATTTGTGTTTCACACTAGCATCATCAGCTCATTGATGTACTAGCTAGCTAGCTATATATCTAGTGGGCTGATTGGGCTGTTAGCAGGGGCTGCCTTTGGCGTTACTGCTTCCCGACAGCTACCTCTACAGATGAATAGGTTCAAGCAGCCTGGACTCTTCACTCTGGATGGCTGTTCAGCATGACACTTTTATATCATACCAAAATGTGATTGGCACCAGACAAAGGAGTTTTCGACGGGGAAGAAAGCCAGCCAAGTAGGAGGTTCGCAGTGTATAAAAGATCGATTTATGAGACACTCCTGTAGTGCAGCCAATGGCTACCAGGTAGTCCTTTAGAAAATTCCATTCTATTTGGGAAGCGCAAGACAGTTACAGCCAACAAATGAGTCAAATAGGTTGGAAGCCACCTGGAGAGGCCAGAGTCTTAGAGATGATCCCAAGAGTCTATGTGGAGTGGTAGGACAGCATTGAACAAGTTTGCCCCCCCTCACTCCATTTTTAGGGTGCATGCATTTGCTTGCATGGGTCATTTATTTGAGCTGTTACATCTGGAAGACAGTTTTGGAACTCAGGTAGATGTGGTAAAAATAACTTTTATTCAAATATTCAGAGTACATTACCTCAACTACCGTTCATGAAGAACCACCTGATCTGCTTTGTTGCTGCTGTTCCTTTCGTCAAACCAAAGCATCTACCACCAGGTACTCTAAATCTCCCGTCTAGCCAGCTAGTCAATCATGTCACCGCCAGACCTAAATCCAAGAGTGGCATGCTTGGGACTCTTTAGATCAAACAGACAGATTCGAAATCACGACGCGGAGGCGCTCGAGAAATCCGACTCACAACCTGGTATTGGTTTTGGATTGACCTGCACATGCATTGGTGTAACCGAAGACCACCAGGTCAGTACTGCAAAAAACATGTTGTATTATTACGAACTCGGAATCTTCAACTCACAACCTTGCAACTCCTGTGATTGCCCTCTTGGTAGAAAGGACATTTACATTTTCATATCACAATTAACAGGCACATTCCTGGATATGCTCTCCAACAATTTGCCAACTTGCCCGAGATTTTTGCTGCTAGGTTGCTCTACCATTTCGATTGCACCCACCAGATCAGTGAGTCTTTCCAAAAGGAAATTCTACCCCTGAACTGCACCAAACAACAATGCCCCATACCTGATGTTGGACGAGTTTCCAAAGGTCGGGCGCAATGTGCCACTGAAGAAAGTTTGCAAGAACCCAAAAAGTTGGTCGAGTTTCCAAAGGTTGGGCACAATGTGCCACTGAAGAAAGTGTGCAAGAACCCAGAAAAGCACGTCCTGAAGAAAGATCGACCGCCTCACAAGGACATGAGCAGTGGCGACATGGGTGGCAATTCAAACCACGCTGCCCTCCACGCAGGGTACTGTATTTTACTGGTGCTCTTTCGCATGCAGGGGGGAATACGATCTGGAGGAGGCGATTCCATTGTTCACACCAGATCATTCGGATCGAGCCTACCCATGCTTGGAAAACTGTTTGGCACTATCACTGTGCGGTTGAGTGCCTGGTTAGCTTATGGATACACAGAAAGATCCAAGTGATGATTGCCGCAGCAATCTCTGCGGGTCCAAAATAGCAGTGAAAGACGGAAAAGATTCCGTACACATGCACTTTGGAACGAATCACAAATTTTTTGGAGGGGGTCGAAGACCAGAATGGGAAGGCTGCTGATGGGGCAAAGTGTAAGCGACAGTGACAGAGGTGACATGTGGACCAACAAAGGGCTGAAAGGTGTGGACCAGCATGCCTACGGTGTTTTCAGCAAGTATCCCAGGAGACTGGAGCATGGAGCAGCCTGGGCAGCTCCAAGTGACGTGATGGAATTATTGGGGCTGTTGTATAAAAAGGAGGGATACCAGAACATCCCTCTCGCTGGCAGTACCAAGTTGTCCTGGTGGTGTGGGCTTGTGGCTGGAAGGAATGTGTTCCTGAACCTGCACACTGATGGGAATCTTTCCTAGTCAGTTACATTGGCGGTGTCCGCTTGCGGAAAGGACCACAGAGTGTGCTACCGCACTACTTTTGTTTCCGGACACTGGGCAAGGCAATTCAGACCATATGGATGAAGGCTCGGTGAAAATGTACAAGGGCAGCTTCACAAGCACTTCCTAGGGCAGATAACCTCTCTACTCTAAACCCCCTTTGATTCTACCGGTATCTGATTCTATCCATGGTGGACGGTGCCAAACCAGTGCCAGGTACCGGTACTCGTACTTTACCGTCGTGGAACCAAAACTCCAGGGGAAACCTTGGCCCTAATAACTAAACAGGCGTCATTGGTTTTCAAGGAAGTTTCCACCCGAAGACACCCAACTGCATGACCCGACAGTGCCACCTGTCTTCTTTTGAGCCTTCCAAGGCTGCCTTGTTATTGCCATATCGTGCTGTAACTACCCTCCTTATTGTCAAAAGAACAGCGCATCCCAATCAAATTCAATTCCTAATTACTAACGAAATGGAAGGCTCAGGGTTTCGAATCACCAGACATTCGCTCGGGAAGCAGTTATCTATAGTGATGATGGTTTCTTTTCTCTTTTTCACTCTTTGCGTTTCTCAAGTTACTTCGTTTCGATGGCCTCGTCGCTTTCGTTCCGTCCAATCCAACAACAAGAATCATAATAATTCAGATGATGAAAACAACAACAATCCGCTATCATCGCTCCAACTCGATCCTCTCTTACAAGTCCCCTGCTCCCTCCAGTTGGTACCCAACACGGGCGACAACCAAGTACCGCGTCCTCAACATGCCATTGGCACCTTTTGCGACACGGGTGCCCAACGAACGTGTATGAGTTGGGACTGTGTCCAGAGATTGGGTCTAGCACATCTCATGGATCATCGATATGCGGGTCAAGCCACCGGTGTGGGGTTTTGTCGAGTCTTGGGACGGATCCCTGCTCACACCGTATTGTTGCAATTTGCGAGTCAATTGGATGGACGACAAGTCACCATCATGGCACCGCCTATTACAGTGCTGGAGAAATCCACGCTCGACGAAGTCGATCTGCTCTTGGGACTCGACTTTTTGCGAGAAACTCAAGCCGTCATTGATTTGAAGGATGAATTCTTGCAATTGACCTGTGTTATGGAAATCACCAGCGATGGTACCGGTACCAGGAAACGGGACAACAACAACAACAACCAGCCCAAAATCATCCGAATACCCTTTATACGACCGCGAAGCAGTCTCAGCATGGGCGATGATGATTCCGACGCATACGCCAAAGCCAAAGAATTTGTTGTTTCCGAAATTCCGCGGTACCTGCAAAAGGATGGTGATAATGATGAAGAAACTGACTCGGATTCAGATCTACTGGAGGATGGAACGATGGATATGAGGGGCATGTGATGGAACGACAGAAAATGAACAACAAAATCATGCTTTCGCAAACAAGGAATCGAATCGATGGTCGTTTCCGTGGCATACACCAGTCGGAGTCCAGGCCTCCTCTGGACCGACAACCGGGGCTAGGGTGCTTGATTGATTGACACGGGCTAGGGTGCTTGTGGCTGGACGGAGTTTGATCCGAGTTCTTCTATTCTGGATTGGGTTCTCTGTTATAGTTCTTATTGCATGTGTGCTCTGCAATTCATTGCCCAACCTAAACAACTGATTTTAACCTTTAGGTAACACCACAACTTACCGGTATGCTTCGGTTGGTCCTGTTGGACGAGCTGGCTGCCAGGTTTAAGCGTCTACATTCCCTCTCCTCTCAAGATATTTATCGGTAGCAGCAAGGCCAGAGACAGTACTGGAAAAGGACACACCGTTGAATAGATCAGCTGGACTGCAGACAATACAGCCACAAGGAGGAATTTGAACACGAGCAACACGTTCAACCCAAGCGTCCGCTCCAGTCATAGCATAGCTGCTTCTCAGTGGTTGTAGGTACCGTAGAGCGATGCGAAGCAATAGCATCATACTACTATGCCTGGGACTTCCATGCCCAACGTTCACAACTAACTGATGACCTGCTTGCCGTGCTTATATTTTATTGCTTCTATGGTTATTGCTTCAATGGTCTCTTTGAGGATGGATTGATGGATGGTTAGTAGTTTGGCTCAGTCGCGTAGTTAGTTGATTTGCATTCATAATATAGCCATGATGTTTACTTGACCTTGCGTTAGTGGTTCTTTTGGCTGTTTTAACATGTTGATGCCATGGATCTTGGTCGTTTGATAAGTAGAATCTTGCATTTGTGCACGTGCTGACGGAAGAATAGTGAATAGTGAGCAGTGCCATTGTCGTTGGTTGGTTGCTGCGTGGTGGATTAGCGATGATGATGTTGCTGCTGCTGTTGTTGTTGTTGATTGGAATATCTACTGTTGGGTGATTGTCCTTGGGGATTGTGTTGGTGATGTGAATGCCCGTGATGGTAATGGTGTCTGGGTCGCTGTTGTTGTTGCTGCTGTTGTTGCTGCTGTTGTTGCTGCTGTCTTTGATGAGATCCGTGAGGAGAGTTTCCTCCCGAGCCTTCTGCGGAATGATCATACGCTGCCGCCGCGTAGGTCATTGGCATGGAGCTGGAAGCGGGTGCATGGTGATGATGATGATGATGCGTTGTCTGGGGAAGAGCTGGGTCTGCAAACGCGAAACAGAACAAGCGAAAAGAGTGAGACAAACCATTGCTTCTAGCTAGCGCATCCTGCAACCATTCACACGCTTTCCGTACTTACATGCTCCATACGTGGCACCCGGAGCAAACGTAGCTGCTTGTGGATTCATCTTATTGGGTGACATGGGGTCCTCTGACATGTTGTTGTGATGGCTGTTGTTTCCGCCGCTTGGTCCTCTGTTTTGTTGTTGCTGTTGTGCGGACAGCCTTTGATCACCACCTCCATCCATTGGATGCGGTAGCGGATGCATGGAAATGGGAGGCGGCGCCAGTCCTGCCATGGGCATGAGCAGTGGACTTGCCGATAGCATTGGTTGTGTGTCAAAGCTTCCGGATCGGGAGATGTGATGATGATGATGGGGATGATGCTGCTGGAGATGATCCGGAGGAGAGGGAGTAGCGGCCACTGCAGCTGCGACTTGTCGTTGTTGGTACATTTGATGAAGTTGTCTCTGTTGCATTTCATACTGTTGCCTCAAGAGAAGTTGTTGCGCGGTAGCTGCCGAAAGGGTTGCGCCTTCCGTCGGATACGGATAAGCTTGGGGTGGGACTTCGGTTTCCATCGGCCAGCTATGCATCGAGTATGCTCTAGCAGGTTCTCCATAATGGATTCCTGGACCGGCCGTGGTGGCATGAGGGTGAAGTGCCGGTTGTTGCTTCGCTTGCTGTGTTTGCTGCATTTGTAGTTGTGTTTGCTGCTGCATTTGTAGCTGTGAGGGCTGCTGCATTCCGGAACCCCTACTTCCACGCAATTGTCGTGTATTGGATCCTCCTCCGCTTGGTCCCCCCGATCCTCGTCCACCACCACCTCGCTTCCCTGCTCCCATTGGATGATGATACGGCTGAGAACTAGGTCCCGTGGAAGCAGCACGTGTGGATTGGTTGGTGTTGGAATGTTTGTTAGCAGGGGCTGGTTGGTTGGGTCCTCCTCCTAGACTTGACGGTGGTGAATTTCCGGTAAAAGCTTGCACGGCCGTTTCACTGGCCACCAAGCTGAGATCAATTTGACTAAAGTTTCGCTCATAGTTGATTTTGGAAGGTGGTGGGGGAGTACTGGCGACTTGGTCCGGGTACGTGTTGAGCTTTCCCCATTTGGTGACGGCCAGTCGAATGTGTTTGCCTTGATAGAGTTCCAGCATACTATTGCGCAGCACAACAGCTCCAGATCTCGCCGAGACTTCTTGCAGCACATCAATCTGATCGTCTCTGGCTCTCAGTGACACAACCCCTGTTTCATCTCCCACTTCCACTTCGGCCAGTCGTACCCTGGATCCATCCACACGCTTCTTGTCCACCACCACATTGACTTTTCCCACCAGCACACAGAGATTGTATCCACCGCGAGGAGGCTGCAGGCGCTTCTGAGGATAGGAAGCCTCCATATCTGGATTGCTCACGGCAGCGGCAGCCACTGCGGCGGCTTCGGCAGGATCATTTGGGTCTTGTTGTTTGCGCACTCGAGACAATTCTTGTTCCAGCTTTTGATGATCAATGTCATAGGCACTTGTCAGATCCGACACGTGCACATAGACAGCACGGCGCAGTCGGACCACTTGGCCTGGAACCGACAGTGACACCGCCGTCGGGTCCGTGCCGGGATGCACGCTGGCAGCCATGGTCGTTGCGTTTCGTCCAGGAAAGAAAACAGAAACAAACAAACAAATGAAGCGTCTGTTCTTGTTGCGCCGTTGTTGAGTTCTGAAGATCACCATCCATGAATGAGCGTGCCATGGCTTTTCATGGTACAAATGCATGTAGGAATCTACGCAGAAATCAGGCCTTCTCGCGTGACATCAAGAAGATTCTCGTTCAACCACATGTTATTTCTGTCGAATTCGATTTCCTTATCGAAAATGATTCAAATCGATTCGAATCTAATCGATCAATCGGATCTGAGAGGAAGCATACGACTGTCCGTAATTTGGCATTCGGTGCAGCATGAGACTCACACGCAACACTCAACACATCGATCATCATCCCCGAGCTTTTCATGGATGCGGAGCACAACAACCAAAAGCAAAGAATATGGGAAGTTCACACTCATCCGTCAAGGAGGATCCTCGTGTCCCCGAGAACCTCGCATCCATTCCGCCATTATGGCGAGCAGAAACAGAGTCGACCACTATTCAGTTTTCCCTCTCCCGGTTTGACAAGAAGTTGATTTCCACCCACAATCTGCCGGCATCGTTGAGTGTTGACACCCGCAAGCGAAAATTGCTGCTACAATCCGGTGACAAGATCTTGGGAGTGGCCAAGCGTTCACCATGTGGTCGCACCTTTTACATTTTTCGAACGGAACCCAATTATCCGGGGCAACAACCAGCTACCGAGCATCTCAAACAAACTGGGGGAAAAATCCCGCTCTATTTGCACACTCGAGTCCGACGCCAAGGAAAACAAATCGGGGTGTTTCAACTGCGAAACAAACAAATCTTTCAAATACGATCGGGTCCCAAATTGTCCCTGGAAAAGTATTGCACCAGCCCGGAAACGGGAGAAGATGTGGCTCTTTGGAGGTACTGGGGAGAGAAGAATGATGTAGAGATATTTGGTCCTAGTGTGGATGTGGGCCTTATCACATTGTTGGTGATCATTACTGCCTGCTTTGATGCGAGCAGTAACGAAGTGGTGACAGCGGTCATGGAGAGCATATCAGCCGTGGTGGCAGCGGTGGTTTGATATCATTGGAGCTGAAATTTTGAATAGTTAGTTTTGAAGAAGTGCGTCCACAAATAAATTTCCTCAGTGGGAACGTTTGGGTCGTCAAGGAAATAATAGATTCGTTTGTATGCAGTACTTCATGAATTAGTGTTGTCGGCGGTCTACCGTACCGGTATCCGGGCGGCTGGGGGAGCGTGATGAGGCGCATACCTAGTAGTTTTGTTGAACGAATTCATGGATCCATGGTGTGTTTTCCTGAACCCGCCGACGACACGACTCGAACGGAAGCATCCCAAGGGGAATTGAATTGACACGTTCACAAGCCCACACCAAGATTTCAATGTCCCCAACCACGTGAACTCTGCCCATTTCACCAATGGACAGCCATTCTGACTAGCTAGCCCACTGAGAGTCCACTTATCGATTGCGCTGCCAAAGCAATGTGCATCGAAGGCAAGACTTCATGGGAAGCTGACTAATTTGGTGGACGATGCTCTTCGGGAAGCTGCTTTTCCGGATCGAGAAATGGCCCCACCGAGGTCTTATTGACACGTTTGTTTCCTTGGGTTCCTCTTGTCGCCTTTTAACACCCTCCACCGAGCCCACCACCAGATCCTCTTCCAGGGGGGGGGGGGTGCCTGAGCTTCCATTTTATGATGCTGAAACTTACTGTTTTGGGAGCCTGTCTAGTACAGTACACTTTGGTGACGAAGCACGTCTCGTACCGGTACCGGTACCATGTTGGTTCGATCGATCGCGATCGAGTGTGGATCGCTATATAGATAGATCAATTAATCTCTCTCTCTTTT